ATGAACATATATTTACGAAAGGTCGCCTCCGAGGGGATAAATCACCAGGTCGAACATGGCATTTTGTTCCTGCCTCTCGCGTTCTCTTCTCTTCCCGCTGTCCTACCTTTCGTGTCTCCCTCCTCTCAAGTGGAAGCCAGTTCCACCTCCACTGGGACCTTGTGACCTTCATGGCTGGGCCGGCAAAGCGACTTGGGACCTTGTGACCTTCTGCTGGAAATCCTGTGCAGTTGTATATACTGTAAACATGACCATGTTGTTTCCATGATTTTGTGGTTAGCTACCTGAGGAAACGAAGCGCGCAGTGCATGTCCTCAACTGGACGTTGACATTGAGGAGGCCAAGGAGGAAGACAAACAGGACTGACTGACACTGCTGACTCCACTCACAGCAGTTCTGCTACAATAAGGTTGAGAAGGAGCGACACTCATGTGCAGTTGCTATAAGCTCGCACCCTGAAAACACGTCGGGGAAGGATTGATGAATAATCTTCCTGCTCACTTTGTATCCTGATTTTGTTTTTTACACTGATGTGAGCGTGGTTCTCATGCCTTAGTACATACAAAGTGGAGCTGAAACTTAATGAATGGAAAGCCAAGATGAAGAAGAGGCCCCAGCAACAACTTACCATAATCTACCATATCATTGAACACGAGGGAGCTTCACATATGAAAGTATACAGGAAGGGGTGAGCAAACCAGTGAGCTTCGCCCGGAAGAATAGGAGAAAACATGTCACAGAATAGGGCAAGGCAATGGAAACTGAAATGGAGAATTTCTATCTTGTCAGGAGGAGGATGAGTTTGTCATCCCCAAGAAGCCTCCTCTCAGGCAGCATTGGGTGCGTTCGACGCCGCTGAAACGCTGCACCCCAAAACCCCTGCCCCTCGATATCTCATGATTTGTAGGTAAGTAGGACTCAATTTGTTTTAACACGCTTGAAGCAGCTACTGGTCACGGAAGCCTACATGCACATCCCTTCGTTTTTCAACCGAACCTTCCCAGACCCAGACCCTGCTCCGACCCGACGTTCCTCGGGGCGAGTTCGGATCCACCTCGAAGGGCCAACGGACCGAGGTCCGAGTACTTAGAGGCCAAACGACGAGCTGAGGAGGCAGATCTCGCACGAAACATGGCCGCAGACAGCGACGCGCAACAGCCGGGGCAGCAGCTGGGCACCACCGGAGCCAGCTTTACCAGGTGTTTTTATGCATTTTATGCTGTTTGGCGGTTGGATGGTTGAATCGTCTTTGATCGGTGAGGTGTGATACCTTGATGGGCCCAACAGGTTAAACTGCGAGGCCCAACTGCCCAACACGCAGATCTTCACTCTGGAGCTGCATGCGCAAACCTACTATTTTCGCTGCGCACCCTGAGATGAGCTTCGCTGCGGCCGGCGAAACGAAGGATGCGCCTCTCTCTCGATGCGCCGAGCACCCAAGGCTTGCAAGAGGAAGAGATGAAGTCCGACTCGGAGGACGATCCTTCCAGTTGGGGGCCCCTGGAGCCGATCAGGTGGCTGGGGGCCTGATGTGTGTGTTTCAAAGAGTTTTCCACCAGGGGGACGGGTCACCACCATGTAACTGCAAACCCATTATCTAAGTGTGTGATGGTTTGTTTTATAGTGCTTAGTCCGAGTTGAAGGGTGCTTCTTGAGGATCTGAACTCGTGACTGGGAATTCTGGGCCTGGGAATTCATGTCCCAAATTGGGCGGATGGGAGCTTGCTATAGCGTGCTTTCCTTTTTCTTCGCCCCGCCCATGGTTGAGACCTTTCCTCAGTGGGGGAAGAAGTCCAACCAACTAAGGGAGCACACTACTCGAGGCGAAGCATCTCAATACTGATTCCCATTTGCCCCATCAAACACACAAGCAAACACCAAGGATAACTATGTGTGTTGGTTTGTTTTGGTAGTATGTTGCATCAATCAAGGACTTGGCGCTGTACGCCGTAGACACCCTACCCCTCCAGCATCCTCCAGCTCTCCGAGGTGATGAGGATGAGTTCGAGAACCGGCGGATTCACTGCTGGGTGCTGGTGCGGAAGGGAACTCGCGAGGCCGAAAAAGGGACCAGGACCGTGGGACCAGACGGTTCGGCCTTTTTCCTGGTTTGTCCAGCAAGGACCGCTGATCTATTTGTGCAATCGAAGAAGCACAGAAACGAGACAGAGCATGTTTGAAGCAACTAGTAAAGCACCAAGCTAGCATATATACCAGAGATGACCCGATGGCCCTTTGAATGTGCAACTCCCTGCCAGTTAGTGCAATTCAAGACACCTGGACCTTCCAACTATACAACAGGGTTGCTCGTTCATCCGAAGGCAGCAAAAAACTGCACAGTTGGAAACACAGACAAAGGTATCGTTCAACGGACGTCAGTGCATTGCCATTCGGATGTTCGAGTCGAGTGAGAGTTCTCTCCACGGACAGCGGACCCTTCAGGTGGCCGAGGACATGTACTTGGAGCCCACGACTGGGCGCATTTACTCGGTGACACGGTGCCCCTACCTCAAGATCGATTTGATTTGGAATCATCGGAACTTGTGGGTCAACATGCAGGCAAGGAGTTCCTGTGGGGTGGAACACAGATGCTGATGCAGCGAACCTCTTTTGTGTGCTTGTGCGTGTTTGTGTGTGTGTGTAAATGAATTTGTGATAATTTGTGAGACTGTTAGATTGCCCAATTATTGTATAACGCAAGGCACGTTTCAGTTTCTGCACCACTGTTCAGTGGCCACTGCGCAATTTTGCAAGAATGCTCAGCAAGGCTTAAAATAGGACAGCTTTGCATGGCCCAATTGCGACACATGGTCCCAAACTTTGGACGATTTCTGGCAAAATCGCCCGCTGGGGGACATTGGGTTCCGTTTCGCTGCTGGCGAGGGAGAGCAGAGATGATCGTGTTTGGTCGGATGCAAGGATTTCGTATTAGATCCTGAAAGCACGTCCCAGCTGGCACGCATGTCCGGACCATTAGGACCAAGCCAGACATGCGTCCTGTGTCGCGCGGCGAACCGTCCAGCGTGGAACTGGCAGGTTTGTGGAGCTTCCCATGTACAGCTGGACCTGTACAATTCCAGGTACTTCGAGTACGTGATGTTTGGGCCTCGAGTGGGTGTTTCCTCAATTCAACGGAGGAAACGAGCGGCACTTGATTGAGGGTCAAGTTTTATAATATATAATGTTTTGTAGGCCATGTGTTGCTCGTTTTACGTGCTTTTCTATGTTCTATTTTTTTGTTCATGCCCTAGTAGAATTCATAGAAGCTCTAGGTCGCTCCCAGCCTACGTAGCTCAACAGTCATTGTACCACAGGGTGGGCTCCTTTTGTTTCGTCCGTCGACGACCCTCCAAGGCTCGACGCCGAGAACCCTGCGGAGCTGGGGGGCGAGGGTGATACCACTGGTCGCTTGGATGGCCACGGCGGGGGGTCGCTGGGATGCGGCGGGAGCGCATGGGGCTCAGTCGTTTTTGGGGGGAGTCGATTTCTGGAGAATGGAGAGCCTCATCTTATACAGTTGATCTCCTAAGTAGGTCCCAACAATTTACCAAATGATCATAGTTCCTCTCCTCCCATGGAAGACCTAAGATGATGGAATGCTAGTTGTGGCATCCACGTCACAACTTTGGCTAGCTCGAAGGGCATGGGTCATGTCTCGTAACCCATCCCCGGTCTGGTGTGGCACCTGGACTGTCGCAGCTGTCCTCGCAGCCATTGGCCCTGGCCCCATCGGAGCACCGGGAAACCCTCAGTGGTGCTGATGATCCAGGGCTCTCAAAGATGCGGATCTGGGCTTTGTGGGCAGCGCCATCGGCTGCTGAGTTGACTCGGGTTCAGATAGGAAGGCCTGCCACTCAAACACGGTGTGTGCTTTTTCCCAAGCAACGACGAATCGGCCAGAACGGCATCCATATCCATCACCTTATGGTCCTTACGTGGTCACATCTCACAGCAAGATGAAGCAGAGCATCCGCATGGGGGAAGGCTGGGAGCACCATTGTAGTCCAACATGCAGCATTTCTGTTCATGGATTTATAGGTGTTCGTTTGTTGGAATTCAGTAAAATCCCACCACCTCAACGAATTTCCATTTGTGTGCTTTCTAGTCCAGGGTTTTTTCTTCAGGATTGTTCCCATAGTGTCCCTTGTCTTTTGCTTGCTTTCTTGATTTGTGTGATCAGTGATCTTTGTGGGCCATGGCACCTCAGCACCTGGGTTGACCCCTGAATTTTCACGGATTCCTCTGAATCCGGGGTGTCAGCCGAGCCCATGGTTTAGTGAGGAAATGTAAGGAAGGTTTTGACTCACAGCCATGTGTTGCTTCATTCGTTTGTGCTTTTCAAAAAATTTCATTTGCTGAATTTGAAAGAGGTGATCCTTGTACCACTCTCGATCCTTGTATGAAGTAGGTGGGTGATGAGCAATGGCAGAATGTTCTTTCCCCATGCCTTGTGCTTGGGGTTTGCTGGGGCAAGTTGATGACCGAATTGGTTGCCCAAGAAACGAGGCGAACACTTGGATTTCATTCTCGAAATTCATCCATGCCTTGGTGCGCAGTTGTCCGACAAGTCATCCTGACTTGGCTGTTTCAGCGGATTTCTTGGCACCACAACACCTTAACACGTTTGGCTTGCCACCCAATCAGTGTCACCGTGGGAACACCCCTCAGCAAGTGAGGTTCTGCTGGTGAGCCTACCATTGGCAGAAGCTGATCATATTTCCATCAGCCTCGTGCAGACCCAAGTGCGTCCACTGAAGACCCGTTGTCTCCGCTTCATGCATATACCAAAGACAGGCGTGAGACCTCGGCAAAGATTTTGTTGCGCACCTCGTATTCTCAAGTTGCTAGCTGCTAGATGTTGAAAGCTTCTCCTGGAACATTTAGATCAACCCCAACATTTTGAGAGTCTATGAGACACAATGAGAGCGACATCTGATCCTCTGAAGATGCAGTGACCTTCAAGACACCATCCAGAATCTCACATGT